CATGTCCTCAGGGAAGGAGGCTGTTCACACACTGCTGAAATCACTTTGAAACCACAAGTCATCACTCCACGTGAGTGATGCCTTAAGCAGACATGCTTCCTACATTTTTGAGCATCTGGAAGACCTGCCCTGTCAGATCAGGAGAATTGCAGATGCTGAGCTTGCAGCTCTCACACCTGAGTGGACTCTTCCCATCTGTCTGTCATACCACAGCATCTTATTCTTGGCACTTCAAATTAGGACAGGCATCATCTGGCACAGTCTTTAATCAGTCTGTACTGCATGCTAGATGACCAGGAGGACAGTAATTTAGGGTTTTTTCTCTGTTTCTGTTGGTAGATGTCTTAGTTTAAAAAAAACAGGTGTCTGCTAAGGAAGGCAGGAACCTCCCTTGAAATAGAAAAATGTAACCCTCCCCCCCGGCCCCCTGAATTATTACAATCTTGAAATTAAGGGGCACTCAGTCAAATATAAGGGAATAGGAATAAGATTTCTTTACTATGAAAATTAAAATAAAAATGCAGTAATAGCCAGAAAAAAAAAAAAAAAAAAAAAAAAAAGGAAAAAACAACCCACTGACAGAGTCATATTACAGTCTCATAATACAGACACTCTGATAGTCAGGGTGTTGATAGCAGTCCAATTAAATGGTCACTGCAGTCCTCCTGGAGTGACAGATGTGGTTCTGTTGAAGCAATGATCCCATAGAAGGATGTAGTTTTTTTCTGAAGATCTAGTGGTAGTGTAGATGGGTCTGGTCTTACTCTGGAAATTTAATGGAGAAAGTCTGCCTGCGGTGTTCCAAGCCTCAGATGATATCCAGGTAAGAATGCTTGTCTCCTCCCCCTTTGTGGAGCATCTCACAATGCGATGATGTAATTTTATCAATCATGCAGTGACTGACTCAATGGCCCATTAATGGAAAATATCCCCTTGGAGAGAGAGTGGGTTGTGGAAGAGATAAAGAACACTGCCCCACTTGGTTTTAACAGTTGGTAATAGACTACATACTTTTGGTTACATCTTGCATTGCAATTGCAAGACAGTAGAAGTGTAGTCTTTATGACTAGAAGTGACTTAGTCTTGTATAAGACTAAGTCTTATATATCCAGCCACAGGATATTACCAAGTTCAAGTCAAGTTCCAGGTGAAAATGCAGCATTTCCAATGATTCACAGAATCTCTCCATACTGGAAAAATAAAACAAACCAGAGCTCTTCAGACAGAAGGCTATTTGGATATATTTAGCTTTCAGTGGTGTGATATTGTGGTTTGTTATGTGTGTATGTGTTTTTTATCACAGTAAGACTCTGATCATCAACTTAAACTGCTTTCATTGCTGTACTCAGCCCACAGCCTCATAACAGCTTCCAAAAGAAGTGAAATTTGGAGTGAGCAAAGGTCATGCTTTTTTGTTCAATTGACTATTTTTTATACCTAACTTGGACACTGAATATGCAATCAGCTAATTATCACTGAAATTTTATGAGATATATGATCAGTGAGAGGGAGGAAGATGAGACAGCAGAGCAGATTCTACTATCTGACTGTCAAAAGTACAAAAGCCTGACACAATGAAAAAAATTGTTTTGTATTCACGCAGTGGTGACACATTCAGACATTGCTTTTCTGTGTGTTCCCAACACTGGTTTTCTAGTGAAATCATGTAAATCATCTTTTGAGATAGGATGGTAGAGATAAGGCGCTATTTTTAGTAAAAATTCCATTAATTTTTTTTTTCTCATGCAGCTTCTTTTCAGTAGAAAGAACCTTGTATCTTTTTCCCCTTGCTTGCATTTTTGATTCCACATCTCCATTTTGCTCACAGACATAAGGATCTCATTGTTAAGCAACACTGAAGCAGTTGTAGGGTGAATGACTCCTTACAATAATTATGTTCATCCACTGTAAACCAGGAGCATCTCCACAGGGATCTTCAGTTAACTTTCCATTGTTGTCTTTAAATCACACAAAATAATTTTGCTGCCAAAAGTTTGGTGGTTTGTTTTGTTTCAGCGCTATCTGAAGTCCTCACCGTGTCACACATGGTCATCTTTGTCAGTGCCTACCTTCCTGCTCAGACACTCTAAACTTCTGTGACACTTCCTAAGATTTTTT